AAAAAAAAAAGAAAAGAAAAAAAAAGACCACAAATAACAAACATTGGTGAGGATGTGGAGAAAAGGGAACGCTTGTACACTGTTGATGGGAATGTGAATTGAGCCAGCCACTGTGGACAACAGTATGGAGGTTTCTCAAAAAACTAAAAATAGAACTACCATATAACCCAGCAATTCTACTCCTGGATATACACCTGAAAAAAACAAAAACACTAATTCGAAAAGATACATGCACCCCCAATGTTCATAGCAGCACTATTTATAATTGCCAAGATATGGAAGCAACCTAAGTGCCCATCAACAGATAAAGAAGATGTGGTATATGTATACAATGGAATACTACTCAGCCATAAAAAAGAATGACATTTTGCCATTTGCAGCAACAAACATGGACTTGGAGGGCGTTATGCTAAGTGAAATAAGTCAGACAGAGAACGACAAATACTGTATAATATCACTTATATGTGGAATCTAAAAAACACAATAAACTAGTGAATGTAACACAAAAGAAACAGACTCACAGATATAGAGAACAAACTAGCTGTTACGGGGCTGGGGTGGGGCAATATAGGGGTGGGGGAATAGGAGGTACAAACTATTGGATGTAAGACATGTTACAAGGATGTATTGAACAGAACAGGGAATATAGCCAATATTTTGTAATAACTAAATGAAGTGTAACCTTTAAAAATTATATACAAAATAAAAATCAAAATCAGTAGTAAGAATTTTATGTCTGTACAGTTAGCAAAGAGTTTACCCAATAAGAACAAGAAAATAAAAAAAGAGAGAGAGAGAGACAGACTATATGGAGATCACAAGAAAGCATCAAATCCTGGAGACAGGGCTAAGGAAGAAGGGATAGGAAGAACTTGTCTATTTGGAAATTTTACCAAAGTTTTCCAAAAATATCCTTAGGAAATGATCTGCATGGCACCTTTGTCACATGTAGGTCTCAGCATAACTAGTTCCATCCAACCTAGGCTCTATGCATTTCCATCCAGACACACCCTCTCCCCAGGGGCCAGAACAATATACAGATGTTCTGAAGTAGCTTAGACACCCACCCACATGTACCCTCTCCCCTCTGGCACCCCCCAGCTAAATCTTCCTGATGTCATGCGAGCTTACTTCCTTAGAGCTAAAAGCTAGCCATTCATTGAAACTACAAAGCCAAATAGTTAAAAAATGGTCTAAGCACAGGAGCTCTCTGGAAACTGCTAACAGGATTTCCACGTACCAGAAACTATTCAAGGGGCTCAGGATACAGGGGGAAATTACATTCTAGAGTGAAACTCTGAAAACATATTAATATAGTTTCAGATATAAGAGGTGCCACTGAGAAGGTAAAAAAGAGGGGGGGAAAAAAAAAAAAAAAAAAGGGGGGGGCCCGCGTACTGAAAAAAAAAAAAAAAAAAAAGGAGTGTGATTTAGTAAAAACAGTGCTGCTTTACTTGAGTCAGGACAGCGCTCTGTCAGGAGTAACATCTGAGTTGGAACTGAAACAAAGTGGTAGTTAAGGGAAGATACTGGGGGAGGGGGGCATTCTGCAAGAACCAGCCGGAACAAGAGCAAAGGCCCCGAGATGGAAGGAGGATGCAGCAGGAAGAAGGCCCGCATGCCCAGAAAACAGCAGGAGATGGAGAGCTGAGAATAGGGATAGGCAGGGCTCAGATCGGGGTGGGCACTCAAGGCTTCAAGATGGGGTTTGAGTTGAATTCACGGCATAACAGGAAGCCACGGGAAGGTTTTAAGAGGCAGAGTGAATGATCTGATTCATTCTTTAAAAGTATCTCTTTGACTGCTCTGTGGGATGGTGGACGGACCAGGGAAGGAGGGATAAGGAGACCAGATATGAAGAAGCAGCTGGTGATTCAGGTAGAAATCACATTAGGGTTGTAGCAATGGAGCTGGTGGACATGAGGAATTACAGATAGGTTTCTGAAATGAAGCTAAAAGGTAATAATGGGTTGGATGTGGGAGATGAAAAGAAAAAAAAAGGAAGGAACCGAGGAAGATTGGTAGGTTGTTGGCCTGAGCGACTGGATGGCAGCGTGTACTGAGATGAGGAAGTGGACCGGAGGATCTCGTGGGGGATGGAAACCTGGAGTTTGGCTGTGGCCGTGTAATGCTCGAAATGCTTACTGGAACACCCAAAGGCAGATGGTGAATAGGCAACTGGGTATCTAAGTCTGGAGCTCTACAGAACTCTGGGCCAATGTTAGACATTTGAGTCATCAGCCTATAGATGATGTTCAAAGCCATAGCAAAGGATTAGTTTACCTAAGGAAAGCAAAGAAAATGGGGCAGAGGAGAGCCCTGGGGAGCTCAAGCATTTGTGAGGGGAAAACTGGAAGGCCTGGAATAAGCAAATGAAACACAGGAACAGATGACAGTGACACAGGAAGAAAATCAGGTCAGTGTGGTATCCCAGAAACAAAGCAAAGAAAGCGCTTCAAGGACGGAGTAGCTAAACTCAGTCAAAAGCTGAGGCAAGGTTGCGTAGGATGCAAACTTAGACTTAATCTTTGTCTTGGCCAAGATGCGGGCCATTCGTGATCAATGGTGACAAGAGTCTTCTCAATGGAGTGGTAGAAACAGAAGTCCGATTGGAGTGGCTACAGCAGAGAGAATGGAGGGAAGGAAGTGGAGCAAGACAGGACAGATGGCTGTTCAAGGAGCTTTGCTGTGATGGACAGGCATAGGAATGGGATGCCATGGGGGTCTAGGAAGAGTTAAAGGGACAGAGTAAGACAAATGCATAAGGAAAAACAGGTCAGAATAACATACATGGTGATAATAATGTAAACATTCGAATACTGATGTAACCAATCTATTGGGAAGTTATAGAGGATGGGAAGTGCATACATACATTTACGATATAAGGTATGAGGAAGAAAGAGAGCTAACTTTCCACTGAACACAATGGGAAGTCAATAACTAATGCCATAACACTTAAAGATCAAGAAGTAGCAATTAGGAAAAAAAAAAGAAAGAAAGAAAGAAAAAGAAAAGGAAAGGCATGCAAACTGGAAAGGGAAAAGTAAAACTGTCACTATTTGCAGATACGTATTATATATAGAAAACGACTACACCAAAAAACTGCTAGAATAAACAAATTCAGTAAAATTGCAGAATACAAAAGAAGCATACAAAAATGTTGTGTTTCTACACCCAAATAAAGAATTATCAGAAAGAGAAATTAAGAGAACAATCTCATTTACAACTTCCTCAAAAAGAATAAAACACTTAGGAATAAGTTTAACCAAGGAACTGAAAGACGTGCATCCTGAAAACTATAAGACACTGATGAAAGGAACTGAAAAAGACACAAATAAATGGAAAGATATTTTGTGTTCATGGACTGGAAGAAATAATATTGTTAAAATGTCCATACTACCCAAAGCAATCTACAGATCCACTGCAATCCCTGTCTAAATTCCAACAGTACTTACCACAGAAATGAAACAAACAATCCTAAAGCTTGTATGGAACCACAAAAGGCCCTGAATAGCCAAAGCAATTTTGAGAAAGAACAACAGAGCCGGAGGCATCATGCACCCTGATTTCAAACTATAATACTATAGTAATCAAAACAGAAAAAGATGCATAGGTCAATGGAAGAGAATAGGGAGCCCAGAAATAAGCCAACCCATATATGCTCCATTAATTTACAACAAAGGAACCAAGAATCTACAGGCATAACTTGGAGATACTGTGGGTTAGGTTCCAGGTCACCACAATAAAGTGAATATTGCAGTAAAGCAAGTCACAAATGTTTCAGTTTCCCAGTGCATATACAAGTTATGTTCACACCATACTGTATTCTATTAAGTGCACAACAGCACTATTTCTAACAGCGTATATACCTTAATTAAAAAACCTTATTGCTAAAAAATGCTAACCATCATCTGAGCCTTCAGTGAGCAGCAATCTTTTTGCTG